GAAAATATGTACTCGAAGGATAAAGCCTTTTAACTTTATGGCTTATTTCCCACGACACCATCATAAGGCAAGCTAGCACCTCACTCGAGTATTTCCTGAAACCTTTGAATCATTCAGTTGTCCCGTGCAGCATTGTGTCTGTACCGGTACCGCACCATAGCAGAATAGCCAAGTCAGTGACAACTCCTTCTTCTTCTCTCTCTCTCTCTTCAACTGTAAAAACGATACAACTACAAGGGCCTTCTTCTTTCCAATTGGCAATACTGTAAAGCTAAAAGCAGGTGGACACAATACCAAGCTAAGTTTTGCGGGATGCGGAGGGTACCATCAGAAGCAAGGAGGCTTGTATAGGACACGGCTGCAGTTCACAGTGTCATTAATCATACAATGTCTCCGGCGAGCCCACCTAGCCGATTCCGACCATGGGCTTCGGCCAGGTCGACTCCTAAAGGCTGCGGGCTTAGGCAGGTTCTGGGTAATAGGGAGGGCTCGAGCCAGCCCGAGTCAGGTATAGTTGGCAGCAATCCATTATCGTTTGTCCTACATCTCAAACTATAACTATAAAATGAGTGAGGCGGATGAAAGGTACAGTAACGGATGTAGGATAACTCGGTGGGCAACAACACCAACAACTGGAAGTTTGCGCAGACCCCCCAGGCAGACCATCATACCCCATCACTCACATAATCTTCAGGCAGAAAAAAAAAAAGAAAAACCCCTCCCGGGCCACTAAACCTCCCTCTTCAGAACCTGGAAATTGCAACTGATGGAAACAGTTCGAGAAACTTGGCTTCTGTTAGAAACACGCTACGGACGCTCCACTTAGACTACTATGCAAATGGTTCCCCAAGAAAACGGAATTCTACTAGCTGAATCGTGTGAATCTGCTGGGAGCTACAAAATTAAGCCCCTCCTAGAACTATTCTAGAATAGAATAGAATAACCCTTCCAGAAGAAAAACAAAATCCCTGATCCTAGCCCCCGCGCCACTTGACTCGTGAAACGGTATTTGCGCTCCACTGGATGTGATTTCGAGTCAGCAGGATCAATACGGAAAGGGTGCATCTCGTTGCTAATCTACCATATACTTCTGGCTCCTGCCGCTCCGCCAGCGCTTTGCCGCTTTCCCGGCCTGTGGAAAGGCTCTTGACATCAACACCGCCGTCCCCTACCACTCGCGCCTTGTTCCAACAATCTAGAAAAAGTATAGGGAGGGGTGACCGATCTGGACAGATCTGTAAACTACATGTAATAGTAGTATTTCCAAAGGCTATATGCTCGAATAAATTCCCCCCCTTTAATCTTTCATCCTTCCTATCCGACGGTTTCTCTCCACCCCGAACCAGGCTCTATCTGCTCGCCTAATCCCCCACACCCTAGATACCCCCCAGGACCCCAGTAGAAACACAATGAAATCCAAACCTCGGACACGGAACTTTCGCCTTCTTGACCTGACATTATGTATAGCTCCGCTCGAGACGAGCCCACAACCTACCATACGATACCATATATCCTTACGCTTCATGCGTTGTTTCTAAGTTCTTGTGGGGCTTGCTTAACCAGAATTCTGTGGCAGTTAAAGGCCTCTGGATCTCCGTACCGACTTGAAAAAACAAAAGTACTGCGCGGTAGAGTAAAGCAATAGTAAGTCGACCATCTCTAGGTGCGTCAAGCCCACCTGAGATGGCAAAGTAAGCTACACGTTTTCAACTTTGGGGGTCCTTCAGTACTTCTCCGATAACTCGAAAAGCAAGGTACTGAGGAACCGGTACGAGTGTGTAAGCCAGTCATATATCCCCAACAGCTCGCACCCTGGACATGATCTAGAACCCGGATGAGTCGAGTGCAGGAATTATCAGCATTGGAGTTTCGCATGCTCAATAAAATTGCGAAGAAATGAAGTCTAAGATACTACAATACTAGCATACCGCTCGTGCCGAAAGCCGGGCCACCGGGCCACCCGGTGGCCTTCCCCTCCTCACTGCTCGCGCTTTACACAACGTCAACGTTCGCAAGCGGCTAGGCTGGCCTGTAGATAACCTGCGCATATATAGTCCAGCCAGGCCAAGTCAAAGACTGACCGACCTGGGCTTTGCCAGCCTTGCTTTTCCACGCCTACAGGTTTCACGGGCGCCTGGAGGTGCTAGTAGGCTTTCGGTATGTGCCATGTGGTCAGCAAATATTTTGACAATGGGTAAGAGATATCTACGAATATCCGCCAATGCGGTGCAATATCTGGAGATACACCCTGCTATTTCGGGCCTGAGACACACGAAGAAAATCAAAAACGTCGCAATAAGCCCGAAAGATTAAGAGTAACTTAGCCCGGATTCCGGGCAATTCCATATCACCCGATATATCCTGATTACTCCACATCGAAAAAACTGCTTCTCCCCCCTCCTTTGATCCCGGTGAGAATACAAGTGCACACCTTGGATCTGCACCAAGTTCTGTATCCAGCTATCTTTTAGCCCCCACGGCCATAAGCAACAGCGGTGAGGGGAACGCACCACCCCCATATAGGTGTAGGGGCTGCTGACGCATACGCTGGCTTTCCGCTTAACCCATGACATTGTATTCGCATGTCATGAAAACCACCAGGAATAAGAGCAATCACGCTCAATCACTCGGGAGCCCGTGGGTATGGTGCCCTAGGGTAAGAGTGGCGAGCCACAGAGCCAATAAAAATTGTGGATTTGAGTTGTGGCTCATATAATATTATGGGAATGAATTTCAATAATGGTGTGAACAGACCTGATCAGATGGGCCCCGGAAACCAGACTGGCTGCTCGCTGACACCGTTTCACATACTATAGGGGCTGAACATGCTACCTGCTCGTAGTGTAGAGAAGATATTCATTGAAGTTAAAGGAAAAACTTCCCAGGGTGAATACTGGCATCCTGAGCAAGACGCTGAGCCTCCTCAATACCTACGATTCCTCCGACAGTATACCTCTGGCATCCGTGCTGGTAGGGGATGGTTGAACAAAACAAGAGCACACCATTCCGACCCACCGAGACAGGAGTTGGTCGCTAACAATTCGGTTTTACTATTGCACTGCCGGGTACGGCGGTACCAGTGTGGAAGGGAAATTGAGTTGAAAGGGTATTGTCTGAGAGCTGTGAGGTTTTTACCCCATGGAATTTCCTGTCTTTGTGCATGCCTTGGCATGAATACTTTCCTGTATTTAAACTGGGAGCTGGTCTTCTTAGTTAGATAAGCTCAACCACCACTCAACAACAACCATTTAGATAGTGGTGCATGCCTATCTAAATTGGGTTCAGCTTCAACCTCTTTACTTCCTCTGTGTCAGTCTATTTACTACAATTGGATTCTAAGTCAACTTCCCTTCCTCTATCCATTGGCTTATCGGTCTTGTCACAGAGCAATAATAGCCACAAGGTGCATGCTTGGTCGACACACCATCCAACTAAGGGAAGAAACATAGAACCTCCCACACCGGTACGTATGGATAGGACAGGCAATCGAACTTGGACATCGGATCTACTATTGGTGGGGTCTGTGCGCTCTTATAAACCCCAACAAGGGTGCCAAATTTTCCATAGAATCGACTGGTCGTAATAGAATCTTCCGTTAAGGCACATAATCGACTCTGACTATTCCAAAGTGGGTTCCCGGCTGTGACGCAAGAGTATTTTTTAAGTAGATACCTAACTTAGTTTTTACTACATGATGGAACTCGAGAAAATCAAGGGCCAGATACCATTCCTCAAGATTCCAATGAGGAAGCCCATTGGCTAACCCCCAAATTCTGACCAATACGACACAAGACCGCGCCCGCCGAACCCACTCCGTGCTCCTACTATCCGCTCCAGGGACCAGCCATTCAGCATGTTCCTTGAGTGACGCGCTGGCTGTGGCTTCCCCATTGCGACCCGGAAATTGGACCATTTGGTACCAACACGACGATATCAGCTGGCTGGCAAAGCCGAAGCAGCGGAGAGATGATGGCGTCTACGCACGGGGTTTTATTCAGATCATTGTCGAAATATTACAGGGTATGTTGTGATTGTGTAGTAGCTCGAGGGTCACGCACTCAATTCCTCGAAGGTATCATATTATCATAAAATGGCACAAGTGGCCTGCGCCGGCTCTACCGCTGTAGTTTTGGACCTCTGGGTACGAGCTGCGTCCCGGGCAAGCACGGATCACAGTGCGAAAGCCCCCGAGTACTACGGACGGAGCAGGAGACTCATGCCAGATTCAATCCTGTGACATTGGAATCTAGACACAAAAACTCGAAATAGGCGTTGTGGGCACCACATTCATTGGGTGTGACACCTCCTAGTACAGAATAGTTAAAAGTTTACTACACATTTTGCGTGGAGAACCCTTTTTGACGCTAATAAGACTTGTCATCACTAGCGGCCGGTGACTATTCCTTCTTTCGTGCAAGTCAACAGTGTAGATTTACCACTATCCTCTGAACCGCCAAAATATCCTGAGTACGAGTACCACCTCCAGAGCTGGTACCAGTACTGCAGTTCATTTTCCGAGTTCGTGGTTCATGAACTGCAAACCGCACCTTCGAACCGTGATGAACTGGCGGTGTGTGACTTCCTATCGGCATTAGGCAAATGCGTTAAACACCTTGGTAATCACGAATGGTGGGAACCCGACTATGACGCGTACCATACAAGGGAAGACGCAGGTAAGTTGCGCCCGACAAACCGGGTTTCGAAGAACCACAAGTTCAATGCTTGAATTTTCGCGCCGGGGCTTGCGGGCACGCATAACTACTGCATAATATTATTATGGTATCATACTGCTAGTATCTCCCGCAAACTTCGGCAACTCCAGAGAAAACGAATAACGAGTGACCGATGGTGCCCCCTATGAGCCCACCCCAGACTCCAGATTACCTATCCTCGCCCACCCAGAAGATAAGCTAGCCCTTGACTTCCTTACGTCTTTTACTTGTGAAGCTCCATCATCCTGGTTCTCCCTCATACTCTTCGTTTCTCTCCTTTATCTTCTCCTCTTTCCTGCCTATCCTTCCGGGGTCCGACCGCTCGTACAAGTAGGAGAGCTTTTCTTCTTCTTTCGACTTCTAGGCTTTCCCGAGAGTTTGTGAATTTGATACTTCGCCACCCTATCGAACCCGAAGACCCCCCAATAGCGTTCTAAATTAGCGCTTAAATTACTTGTAGCAGCGTTATTTTGGGCAGTAGCATCCGCTTCGATGGACCACACAACTGTCCCCACGGAATCACTTCACCAGTAGTTAGAGCACCGACGAATCTCGTACCGTCAAAAAGCCTGGGAAGATTCCGAGAGCGTTGTGTAGGCGCCGACCTTCTTGCCCGTCCAACAGCCAAACACCCGACCCAAATCAGTCCAGGACTCCCGATGCTGAGACAACACGTATCTCCGAGCATGGATCCCGCCAAGACACACGGGAACTCCCATCCGATTGGCTTTTATGCTGGAAATGGAACTGCGTCATCGAAACAACATCCCTCGCATGACCATCATCACAAAGAAGGTCTCTTTTTGGTCACCACATTAACCGCACGGGCAGACGCATGACAAGGATCAAGGCTAGGCCAAGTTTGCCAGCAAGATTCCGCCCTTGCTCGGGACCAACCGAAGCGGGAGCCACTGGCACTGAAAGAGCTGACTAGTCTTTGGTTGCTGAATTGAAATGCCTTTCGCGGAAGGAAGGCGAGTTTGCGAGTTTGCTGATGGGGCTTATTGGTTGGTGTCTAGAAGGATGTGAAAGAAGCACTGATGGGGTCCGAACCGCGACATTTGCTTTAGGTGCCATCGTTTGCCGCTTAGATATGGGCGTTGGTCAAAATGGCTGGGAGCGCGCATTTGGTTCGATCGTCCGTGACGAAAAGTCCCATAATGCATATTCACAACCAGCCACCCACAAAACTGGGCAGGATATCAGATCTCCACCCCTCTGGCAATGTGGTACCCGGCGCCTGCTACTCGCCAGCAATGGAGACTTGGAGAGGCCAGAGGCTCCAATCAACAGGGCACCGTTGCCAAAAACGGGCGTCATAACTTAACATGGTTTTGTGCTGATCGTCAATATTAGGAAAAAACTTGATTCCTCATAGCGCCTCCTGTCGCATTCCAACTTTCAGCGATTCCTACATAAGGTTCGACATGTTCCCTTCAATCCGTGTTCTGTTATGAACAGGCGGAAGTAACTTATCGCACCCCAGACGAAAGCGAGGAATATAAAGTGTCGAATACTATCCTCCCGCCTTCCCCCCCCCCAAAAAAAAAGTCTCCGTTCCTTAATCGCCCACTCTAATAGAATCTGCCCCCAAACACCGCAGTCATGTGGCCCGGAACCTTCTTCACACTTCTTCGCATCCTGCAAATCCTCACCCTTATCCCCATATGGGGAGTCCTAGCCTTTTTCGTCGATAAATATCCCATGGTTGAAGACGGTGCTTTCTCTGACATCCTCTGCCTCTTTGTCGTCGCAATCCTCGCAACAATCTGGGCAATCGCCACAATCTCACTCTTCTACCGCCGCCATGTCCCCATATGGGTCGCGGTTATCGATCTCTGCATTTTTGGCGTTCTCATTGCTGGTGTCGTACTTCTCGCGCCCTACGTGCGGAACACGGATTGCATCGGGGTCAACTGGGGATGGGCATACGCGGACGGATACTGGAGCAGGGAGTGCTCCATGTATAAGGCGGTTTATGCCTTGGGCATCATGAACATTATTATGTTCTTCCTCACTGCAGTGTTGGCGGCGTGGATTTGGAGGAGGCATACTACTGTCGCGGTTTATCGGTATTAAGTTTGGTGTTTTATTATGGCTGGTTGTGGTTATGTGTGCACATTTAATAGTTTTGTGATACGAAAGATGTTTGGTTTTATTTTTAATGAGGGTTTTTTGTATTTTTGTCACTTAATGAATGACTGAGAGGATGGTAGGTTTGGATGTTTTTATGAAGATTTGTTTGCGTTAGTGATGCAATTTTCCAAAAATGCAAAATCTATTGACAGGATAGTTGTGCCGTGTTGGGGCTATTGAGAGACCACAATATCTAGAACCCGCCAGGAGCACTTGCACAAGTATGATATGATAATTATAATGTTATTCTAACAAAGACTATCCTCACAAGGCAACAGCAGCCACATTCCCTCCCATTCACGGCACCCACTCATTCCACCAGGTTTGTTACAGTACTCCAACATCCTCTACCTTCAAACGCCTCTCTCCCCAGTTACTTTATCATTATCAATGAGCTCCCCGACCGCCCACCACGCCCACGCCTTATTCCGTGATAAGCTGGGGAGGCCACACGAGTGATCCTTTGTGCATGTAAACAATTGACAAGAGGTTAGCTAATTGGATTTTTTTTTTTAAGTAAAAGAGACTGGCGATACTCGGAATCTGAGGGGAGGGGAAGGCTTCGATTGAGTTTGCTGGAATGGCGGATGATGGCATTATAGCACACCCTCAGCGGGACACGACAAAGGACGCATCACCGGTAATATAACCTCAAATACCGGCGAGGGTTTACACTTCTTTGTTCAGCCGAATTTCCATTTGGAGGAGATATGTACCCGAGGCTCTTAGTCAACAAGACAATGCGACACTGGGATGTCGGCTAGTGGGCCAGTGGGAGGGTGATTGACCCTGTTGTTCCCGATCTGGGGGTGCTCTGGACCCTCTTTGATGTGAGGTACTGTACCGTGTCACACAGGTTGTATTACGGTGATTGGAGCTCTCTCTGGGATGTCCAAGATTTCTCTATTTGGGTTAAGAGTGCTGCCGAAGAGAATGAAATCATTTAATCATATTAGAACCTTTTACATTTACGCACTTGAATTATAACTGATATTCCACCGGCACAATTCCATTTGAGGGGATTCAAGATGGGAGAAAACATGGGTGAGATTTGCAGGAAGTATGGGACAAAGAGCAGTGAGTGATTGCGCAGTGTATAATGCAAGTACTTCGCTTTCGCCATTCCACCTTTAAAAAAATCTAGCCTCACTAAAAATTTAAATGTGACGACTTTTCCCCTTAGTGAGATTTCGATAACTCTGTGGCATATATGGTGCATTTCTTTCACCCATTCACGACGTTTTCAGGCATTCCTAGTTGATTTTTGTAATATTTCTGTGTGAAGGTCTGGTCTGCCCTTACGAAACATTGTGGGAAAAATAATAAGAATTCAGCAGAGCATCGAGTTTCTTTCGCAATTCGCCGGAACCCACCTAGGGCCACCTAAGGAACAAAGAAACCGCCGACAGTCCGCAAGCTCTTTGCTGTTTGTTGCTATGAAAGCTTGTGAGTAGATAGTAAGTCTCGGCCGGGGGTGGTATCCGAAAGGTACCGGTAGACTATGCACAAGGATGCATGCATGGCATTGAAAAGGTTCCCTAGTGAAATAACGCTTTCTCACTCCTCCCGGACAAAAAGGAAAGAAAGAAAGAAAGAAAGAAAACAAATACAACAAACCTTATCGGTACTAGAAGGTGCGACCCCATCGCCCTAGCATGATGTACCATCTTCCACGCTACTTGTGCTGTATCTAGGCTCAGCTCCGTTTGGGCTTTCTGCGTTTGGTTTGGGAATTGTGGGTCGGACTTTCCCACTTGTTGGAGCGTATGTATAGGGAATAAGTCTGGGATGCGAGTTGTATCTGGAAGGGTAGTTCTATGGTGGGATATCGGTAGGAACGGAGAAGGCATTGCAGCATTATGCCCGGTGCATGTCTCCATATTTGACCGATGCTACGCCCTGGCCATTGTTTACGTCAGCTGCTGACCTTTGGATAACACCCTGATCGCGCTGAGTTTGATTAGGAAACATATTCGGGGTGTGTGTTAGGCTAAAAATACAAAGTCCCGGCATTGTATAATATAGTACAAGGAAGGGGGTGTATGCGTATCCGAATTCGTTCGGGGTCCTGCGTTCTAAGTCCTGCTTATCGATAACAATGTGAGGTCCGGGATCTCGTGTAGCTAGCTACAAGTATGATACTCACGGGGAGAGGCACTGCATATCGGGGGTCTCACAAAGCAATAATATTTTGATCGGTGAGCTATGCAATTTAGATTGTTGCTACCGTAAGCCTTACTTGGCTCACTTAATGGAAAATGGTGTTATATTGCATCGACATCGACAGCTATTCTTAATCTCTAGTACTCCTGAAGCACTGAGGCTGACACTCGGGAGCTTACCGCACCACTGGCTGACAGTTGTTTATGGCACGCACCCCTGCTGCTTGATCACAGTTCATGATTCGTGCTGGTTCGCTCAGAGAGGAAACAACAAGTCACACTACGATAGCAGTTGAAACATTTCTTCAACCGCGTGGTGCTATCATTTTATACTCACCCAGCATATTTCTAAAAAGATGTTCCAGAATTCCAATCCCAATAGGACATGACACTAGGAGAGAGAAAACTCCCCGCGAGGCAAACTGCGCTTCTATCATTGGGCTGTCTAGAAGTATTCGAGTACTGTACGATGTGCAGGCTGTCGGCCTATCTACCGTATTGAGAGGTTTAAGGATTTAACAAAGAAAGCTATCGTACCGTATCGGTCGTTGACCTTCCTCCTGAGACCTCGTATTGCTGGCCGGTTCAACTTCCCAGCCCCGCCCAGGAATGTTGGCTTGGGGCGGAGCCGGGATCTCGGTTTGTGGGTGGGTAACAGTAGATACATTCCACGGGATCCTCATCGCATATGCGATAGACTGGCTCCGCCAGCATCGCGCTTCGGTCCCGCGGGGAGCAGAAGGAGGATCAGACAATACCAGTGCCAACTGCTCTGGTTACAGTGTGAGACAGGATAGACATCAGGTGGCCTCGATACGGTTGAGGAGGGTACCGTATCCTGTATGCAAACACACACGCAACCCTAACATCACTGGTATATAGCCACGAACGATCCAAATCCTCTGCCATCAGCAGCATCCTTGCAAAACCATAGGATAATATAAAGTTCCCTCCATCTCTCCCCCCCCCTCTCCCTCTCCGTACCACTGGTCCTGTTCTTAATATCCTGCTAGGAAAAATTCATCCAATCTTATAAACACTCCGAGCTACAAACAGAAAAGGCAAAAACCTACGATGCGTCTATCAAACCACTTCCTGCTCCTAGCGCTCCAAACTAGCATCGTGGCTAGTACACCCCCGCCTCCCGCGGCCATGGGGGATGTTTTGTCCATCACCACTACTACTACTCCGCCCCCGGGCGCGACCGCTGCAAGCACCGGCAAAGAACTACGAAAGCGGAAGGGCGGGGGGGGAAGAGGGGGAGGGGGGAGGGGGAAGTCGAAGGCGAAGGGGGGGGGCGGTGGCGGGTCCGCCGCTTCGGGGAGGGCAGGCGGGGACGTTTGTGGGGTTTTGCTGATCGCATGTTTGCTTTGTGTGGGTGGTTTGGTGGGGTGGGCTTGAGGGGGGTGTAAGTGGGCTTTAGGAATCACCCGGTAATTTCCAATACGGTAAGCGTGCCCCTTCATTGGCTGGGCGGTATCCCTGATCAATATCATACAGGCTGTGGCCACTACGTTTGTGATTGCCGGCATCGTTGACGTACACATCATAATCGGTACGACTCAACCCTCACAGGGGCCTTGGTAATGGGTCGAAGGGAGGAGGCAGAGGTGGAGTTTGGTTTACTTTTTTCTCTAATGACTTGTATATTCTTTCTTTTCCTTTCTCTCTTCCCTTCTAGCTTGATTTGCGGCAGTAGTCTAATGGTGGAGTTTCTCCGCTGGAGGGGTGGTGCGCGTTTTTCTGTAAATTTGCATGTGTGCGCTGGTGCGTGGTGGAGAGGGGCGCCCGCCCTGTCCTTTCTGTCCCGCGCAATAGTCTCTCGGCCATCTCTCTCGCAAGGAGATTCTAATATCATAATTCGTAAAAACCACACAACACTATCTACTCGAGTATTTGTGATGAGTTAAGCTCCAATCCAACATCTATCATACCTATAGGCTGGCTGCCCCGCCTACCGGTATCCTCGAAGTCAGTCTCGTCGCGCGATAAATAACACATAGATCCTAAGGAATATCTATGATGAAGAAATTTACGGTTCCCTGACTGCCAGCGGCGCCATGGCAATCGCACGCGCCCGCCGCCACTCGCGCTGGTTTTCATGTGACGTATCATAGAGTGGAACGCTACGTATCTCCCCATTCTTTATCGTGAAAACTGAAGTGCAATTCCCAGTGAGAATCTCGCCAGGACGTTGGAGTTGCCTCTCGTAGTAAGGTCTGGTGTTTTTTTCTTTTTTTGTTTGTCTCAGAAAAGCCGGTTTTTTGGTGTGTTTTTCGCCAGGAAATCTTGGACCACACCGGGAGTTACCGGTAGACTATCACGGCGCTGACTTGACCTATCAGCTGCGATATGATCATCTGATAACCCGTCTCATCAGTCCCTTTCGTCCTAACCCCCCACCCTCCCTGCAACAACGGTATCCCCAAGAAAGCCAGGAGGGAGATGGAGATGCGATAGAGATAGCAACGGGATCAGCAGATATATCTGGCTTGGTCGAAAACACGAGAGAAAGCATCCTGCTATGATAGCCCTCCACAAAACCAGGAGCTGGGTGTGATTGGGAAAAAGGGCTTTCTGGTTTTTGCGTCACGTGGAAGGTGAGCGTGTGGTTACTGGAGGTGCGGCCGTTAGTTGGTTCATTCCGCATCATGTAGCCTAGGGAAGTGCTGAATCTCCCTGTTGAAAAGTTTGATAAACGTCGCGTGGGTTGGTAAATTTATGGCGGCGGTAGTTCGGTTTTGTGGACCGGGTGTACGAGTAGGAATGGCAAAACTATCGTTACTGTATACTGTAGCTGGTGTGTAGACCACTCGAATTGCTGTTTCCTGACTGCTTGACTTTCGGATATAGAACGCTTGGGAGCTCAGAATCACCATATTGAGGTTTCTACAGCGAGATTATCAAGAGACCTGTATGATAGAAAACTCTGAAAAAAAGGTAGACGAGCAAATCGACACTTAGCCTTTTTAAGTATCGGTTTAACGCTGGTATCATTGGTCGGTAGGCCCTGAAGTTTGCTTTGGGTCTTTCTGGATGATCGATTAGGTAAGCAATGGATTGGGCTCTTTCACCAAAGTTTTGTCTTGCCGTGATCTCGTGACGCCAAGATTCCTGAAGAGATTACGTAACATGCGAGCAATTCCACCATCAGGACTCGCGCGGCCGAGTTGAGGCCAGACTCCTAAGGTGACAATTCCCATACAATCTGTGCGGCTTCTACTCAGCCGTGCGAGTACCGTACTATACCAGTATCTAGGATTGAAAGGAGCGGGTCATAAGGTTCATTAGTCATCAACCATACTGTTTCTCCGGCCTCAACTGGTACTTACTACCCCAACAACCAGCCTACCCATTTTTTTTTTTCCAGCAAAGAGTTGTGCTACCTTTCACTTCCTGATGGTTGACGAGGCACGCCGGTTGATGAGCGGCGACCGTTGCCGTATAAGCATTTCGAGTATTTAATTCGAGCCTGGGCATAGGGATGGGGGTTCCCACCCCCTTGGGACGGGAGAGAGATTGAGGAACATGGGAGAAGAAGAGAAGCAAGCAGGGCATCTTCTTTCGCTTGCCTCCGTAGAACCTACTAGACCGTGCCTTTTCTCATTGATATTTCTTCCGTGTCGGGATTCTCTACCAACTGCATATCCGGTGCGAGTTGGGATAAAAACCCCTTCTTTATCTGCGCCCCGAGAGGGCAGTGGTCACGGCAGCCTAACGAATAGATGGCGTACCACCCGAGAACGCCTGACGCCCGGTGGAAGATGGAGGGATCCGATACCAGGTATAGAGAGAGGAACACTAGCTGCGCCCATGGAGCCAGAAAGTACATGGAAAAAACCTTGCTGCTTCTCGCCGCCTGACTGGCTCAATCTTGTTAAATAAGTCATCTCCGGGGAAACAGACGGAGTGGCTATGACCTACCGGGCATAGCTGGCGTTCTGCAGCGCTAGGCGTACCCGAAAATCAGGCTCCATGACCCTACTATACAAGTGTACTGTACTACTTGTAGTACAATAATGTTTCTATTGTTACACAACCTACGATTTGGGGGTTCCGCCCGTTACTAACAATCTTTCGCTTGAGTGGCCTGCTTCATCTGACTTGGGGATCTTATGTTTACACTTTCGGTCAAAAGTCTCTTGAGGGATAACAGAATGTTGGGGGATACGGAGGGACCCATTGGGTCTGAGGTCGCTGTTAGTAGAGGAAGCCCCCAAGGGGAAACCTTTGGCTCTAAAGAAAATATTGTAGGGATTGCCGACTCTTGCCCAGGTGGTGGGAGGGGGAAAGAGGAGGAAGGCTCTAGAGGAGAAAAGGTGGAGGCAGCTCGTGACCCTGAGAAACCATAGGCAAAGCATGTCAGATTCACCCCCGGCATGTCTGCCGCCAACTCTTACCGTCTATCGTGACCTCCGATGGGGTCAGGCCTATATCGACATATCTTGTGTGTCATCAGTCCAACCCTCAATTCTAGTTTTCTGAACCTGAGCGATGCTGCGAACTTATATCATACCTTTCATATCTCCCGTTAGTAATAATAATGTGGGCTATAGGGGTTGTAAAGCGGCTGTCGGGATTCGTGGGGGGGTTTTGGGGTTTGGTGGGGCTCCGTGGGGTTCTTGGCCGATGTGATAGGTATTCACATTATGATGCTCTACTGTACGGGAGTCAAAAATAGTGGGTAGAATGGCATGTAGCGACCCAAACCATTCCACTTCGCGCTCCCCATTCAATACATTCTGAAGCTTTGAAATTTTTTCAGATGTCTCATCATTTTTGACGCCGGCCTTGTACTGTTGGTGTACCGTACTCGAGTGCTCGAGCAGGATCGTACTGCGCTGTGATTGGTTTGAGTTATTTCGAGCTCATCCGGTAACGAGCTGCCAAATCAGTGTCACTCCAATGTCTTGCCTCGCGGGCCAAGAAAGCACATATTCCAACCTCACGACACCGGTATTTCAACTACATCGCAGCGTTTACGACCGGCACTTTTCACGAACTGCTGGATCAACCCGCGTCGCCTACTCATCGCAAACTCTGCACAAGATCCTCTGCACATTACGCGATCCGAACTAGCGCTTTCCTTCTAGCCTCACATCAAAACTCCACCACGGCTCCCATCATCCGCCACATCTCCTTCTTTCAACCCATTCTCATTCTACCGCTATGAAATCTCTTCTCTACCACGCGATAACCACCCTCGCATGCCTCCTTACCTCCGCCGTTGCCGCCGAAACAACGCTAGCAAGCCCCCATCGTCTGGTGCCCTATCCGATTGCTGGCGGTAGCGCTAGGGTGTGCACGGGCGGCACATTCGATGCCTGCGTGAATGATATTATATGCGCGCAATCGTTTCCTGAGAGCTGTCTGTGCCAAAACGGCGCCAAGATGAGATGTGCTTCCGCATGTGGAGCTGCGAAGCCCGAGCTGCAGAACTGTGTGTAGGGAGGGTGGGATTTCGTGGCGATATGCTCTATCTGGGATGGACAGAGAGGAGGTAGTTTCTGGTGCCTTGTTTTGGGGGGGAAGTGTGGTTTGTCTTTTCTAGCTGCGTGTATTCATTCCTGCCATAGTGTATTAAAGATGGTATTTTTATTTTTTTTGTTCTATCCAGCGATTCCGAAGGTTCTTGGGATATAGTATATGATTTATCCCACAATTCTTGTCACGGAACAACTCAACAGAAGTCGAGACTCGCTTCTGTCGTGCGCAAGCGCGAGTGATTGTATGTGAACTCTTCGTCCCGACATTAGAACCCGAGAGTAGATCGACTGCTCAGGTCTGCCGCACGATATTAGCAATCCACGAAGCGGGAGTTTGTTTCTGTGCCGTATGCTCGCGAGAAATAGCACAGCCGAAACACAGGGGGGCAAGTATCGGTGAGCGAGTTCGCACCATGGCGACGCTGGCGGAATATTGCAGAGCTTGGATGATGTGTGGGTTCAACAATTAATCAGTATCGCGCGATCAAGCAATCAGAATCCCGGCTTGGATGCACTACGCGGAACGATATACTCGAGTGGTACTCGTACTGGCACTGCAGCGGTAGGGCACGAACATCGCTGCGCAGAACCGGCGAGTCACGGGGGATAAGATACCGCATAGAACAATCTTCCCCGCACAACAAGCGCAACACACCTACTTCTCAGCCATCCACTTACCCCCGTCCTCGCAAACTAATCAGGTACCGACCATGTAGCGCTTGTTTAAGCTGCTGCACAGGGGAATCGCAAAAACAGGCGCCATTGATTACCCGTGTATATTATTGGCAGACGCGGTGCATCTAGTGCTGGGATCCCCTCCTTCCATCCTGCAGCGTACGAGTAGGGTAGACCACGGTGCGGTAAGGTGACCGAAATTGGTGTATCCCCTACCGAATTTGGTAATCCGCAAAACCCGAAATTCCAAGATCTCCTCACCTTCCTTTCTTGCGTGATGGGTTGTTTGCTTTCCTGCCGGCCTACCTATGATACTTGATTGCTTGGTTGCGGGTCGGATAGTTACTTGCAAACGGAGGCCAACTTCACTCCGTACCATGCAATATTGAAAATTTAAGTTTCCAGAGCGAAATACAAAGGTGGCACGAGCACAACCAACTATCGCACTCACACAGCTACCCACTTACTGTAACCCTCTCACCGCCTGTCAGGCAGTTATCGGTCTGGCAAGGAGGTAGTGTAGTTCTCGATATACAGCCTGTTGCAGGGGTAAGCTTGTCAACTACTGTACTGTATCAGGGCGTACAATCGCTCAGAACTACAGCTTTTCCCGCACAAAGACGATCACCTGAAAACTCAAATCAGTGAATATTATAACAATAAAAATTCGAGAATAAACTAAGGAGCATAACAAAGAACCTCCATTATTTTAAATCTTCTATATTTTCGGCTTTATTATCAAGGTAGATGCTGTTGGTGTTTGGGATGGAGGTATTGCTGAAGTAGTGCCTCTTTAGGCATGTTTTGCATGTCCCACGTATCGGGAGTTATATAATACTCTTGGTATCTGCCTGTTTTTTCACCCTCTTTCCTAAATCAAGATTTTGGGTATCATAGGAAAATACAATGAAAGAAGATAAGCTTTGGGATAGGAAATAGATGCTAAAAGTTTAAAGTTAGTTTTAGATTTATTTTTTGGAATGCTGTTTGTGAAGATCGAAAGAGGGTTGGGCGAGTGAGGTCCCTCTAGAGTAATGGAACTGAGGCCGTAGTTTGCTCTTGTACTGGGCTATGAATGCTGTGGCACTGTGCAGGGTTGGGTGAGTTATACAACAGTTTTGTGAGGTTAACCGGTCAAGTATACTCGAGTATACTCAGCTGTTTCGGTTAATGGGCTCTCACCCTTGAAAATGGCCGATTTATCCCTGCGGCCTGCAATCGATGCAATGATATTTCAAAAATTTCCCGCACGCGAGTAAATCCGATCCTCGACAATCGGTCGACTGATTCGCATGCCCGCTACAATCGGATGGATTACCCGAAGCAAGGATCAATTATATTATTATAATGCTTGTTGTGCTTCTATCTATCCACAGTTTCACGGGATTACTGTAGACCCTCGACCTTCTTCAGCGCGAGGCCATGGCACGGCATGCGGTGCGATGGCTCTGTTCGGACTAGAGATTGGTTGGAATTTTTCGGGATAATTTGAAAAAACTGGAAAAAGGTATATACCTGTAGCTCCACCTGCTCCCCCCCAACGCTTACAGCAGGTTTAGTTCTTCCATATTTGGGGGATAAAGGCCGTAAATATGTTATTATAACCGTTCACTCCTCAGTACACCTCATGTACATTCTCTACGCTCATCTACTATTCACCGCAGTACAGCATAACAGAGTATTCCGCAGTGGTAGCCGTGATATTGCCATACTGGTGATCATCCATCCATGTGGGAGTCACATGGAGCTAGAACACATATCGGCGGAGACACGCTTCATTGGAAACAGATGTTTTTTCTTCCTCTTCTGGAAACACACATACATTGTAACTAAGCTTCTGCTATTCACAGCTACTTGAGTTACATTCGATTATGAAAATACCATGAAAGAGAAATGCCATGGGGCTCGAAATGCCATAGCATTTGTGGCATGTCGAACAGTGCTTTTAATCCTATAAACAAATCTATCAGCCAAGTTCTATGACACTCTTCTTGCAGGGAATTTAGAATCCTCATCTCCGTTGTTTGCATCTACTGACTTTCCGGCCGTCTTTAATTTGTATTGAATTTTGATGTGTTTTTTATCCTCTTGCCCTATGCACTCTGCTATTTTTCCACATTTTTTTCATGATACATGAAAGTTCTCGGCTCATCGGGTCATACTGTATAACTTGTAATAATAATATTATATAATTGGATGTAAGTACCGGTATGTTAGTTCAGGGTTTGTGTTTGGTCCCACACCCCGGGTGAAATATTTAACAGGTACTTGTTCCCGCACCTCTTTATTTCGAGCCCTTTGAACCAAAAATTCCGAAGAAAGTCTCACGAGGCCATTGCGGGTGGCTTTCTCTCCTTCATTCATTCTTTGCACTTGCTCTTTATACCTTACCACTACCGATAGATCACTAGTAAACAATGGCATCAACCGGCGCATCACCTCGCAGCCCACAGAGTCCGCAGAGCCCGCAGAACCCACAGAACCCACAGGGTTCACAGAGCCCCTATAGTGCTGCTTCCCCAGCGGATTCGCAGGCTCCACAACAGGGGCTTGATGGGGTGATTATTGAAGTAGATGTATGTGCGATTGTCTTTTTTTCTCTTCCGTTTTTCTCTTCTCCCATCATTCTCTCAATTTGCTTGCTTGTCCGCATGTTTGCCAACCATATTGACATAATGAATAGGGTGAATTACTAGATGATGATGATTCTGCATTTGGTTCCGATACTTCGAGTTATGTTACTTCTCTATCGTCTTCTGTCACCAACTATCGATACGAGAATGGCAGGCGCTATCACGCGTAGGTTTTGTCCTTCCGAATCTGTTGCTACATGTGTTTGGCTAATTATTTAATTGCCGTAATAGTTTTCGGGAAGGAGGTATGTTTTCCTTAGTTGGGTTTCGAAAACACCACGCGGGATCATAGTTAACATTCTCCTCCCTCCCAGCTTACGTTCTTCCGAACGATGAGGTAAGAGCTACACTGAATTATCAGACTCCTGGGATAGTGCTAATTGGGGGTATGATGCCAGGCCGAGAGCGATAGGCTGGACCTTCAACACCAGATGTTAACCCTTTTATTCGGGTTACATAGAGCTCCTCTCCAGAACCCGCAGAAGATATTGGACATCGGCACAGGGACGGGAATCTGGGCTGTAGAAATGGCTGATAAATTCCCATCGTCAGAGGTACCCCAAATCTCAACCTTAAGCCTTACAGTTTATATTAGCACCAACAAACAATTCTAATCACTGGTCCAGGTAATTGGCAATGATCTTAGCCCCATTCAACCTAGCTGGTATCTAACCCCCCACCCCCCACCCCCTTCCCCTGAAGTAAACGACAACCCCTAACAGGTATCCTCAAGGGTCCCTCCAAACCTCCGCTTTGAAATCGACGACGCAGAATCTGATTGGGCTTACAAACTCAATTCCTTCGATTACATCCACACCCGTTACATGATCGGCAGCATCCAGGACTGGCCCAAACTCCTCCGTCAGGCTTACGACTTCTCAAAACCGGGTGGGTACGTCGAACTCCAAGAGATCAATTGTGACTTATATACGGACGACAACTCCCTACCACCGGATAGCGCGGCCAGGAGATGGTCTATGCTTATGGCCGAGGCTTCAAGAAAGAACAATCGACCCATCGACATCGGCGCGGAGCTGCAGCCCTTCGTTGTGGAAGCCGGATTTATCAATGTTTGCCGCGAGGTGTATAAATTGCCCTTAAATTCCTGGCCGAAGGATAGTAAACTGAAGGAGATTGGCGCATTTAACTTGGTGAACATGTTGGAAGGCCTGGAGGCGTTGAGTTTAGCGCTGTTCACTAGAGTCCTTGGATGGAGTATAGAGGAGGTGATGGCCTTTCTACCATCCGTGCGCCAGGACATCCAGAGAAGGGATGCCCATATTCTCTGGGACATTTACGTCGTTTGGGGTCAGAAACCGGAGGTGTAAGGGAACAGGGTAAGCTAGTGGGTATCGATTAGTCCTAAAATCTCATAAACGCATCTCATCTTAAAATTTCATGACTTAATGATGCTCCCCGAGATTTGATGATACCCGGTACACCCACCACAGCCCTGTGCATGTAACTTGGCACTTATTCAACTGTCTGCTATAGAATTGGAAGAAGGAGAGCAATCAAGTATCAATCACCGTGGCCTATCGTGTAGCAACAATCTGTAGTTATCGCAATACCGGGTGTGGCGGTTTGGCAGGCATGGCGGGGTGTGAGATGCCTCGGGGGGGGGGGGGCGGGTAGGGATTGCACAGTTGCTCGCAGTGTCAGTTAATCCGAATCTGCTGGAAATGGCATAGTAAAATGGTTTTGTATCTCCGAGCCAGTTACGTTCAAGGTCACAGCCACTCCGGTAACCACACCCCCTATATACCCAATGGAATATTCCACACAAGTATGATAATATTATGATATTATTTCCCCAAAGGCACAGTACTGTACTGTACTGTACTGTACACCCCCGAACATACGTTTCCCTCCAGCCATCGAACCAACTCCTACAAAATAGACTTCAGTACTCGTACCGCTCAACAACGCCAGGGGGGAGATCACTCGATCTGGATTTCCATACAGCATATCGCCCTCTCCGTAATGTTTCAAAATTTAATTCTCTCGCCGAAGAGTACCATTCGTCATCAACCTAGGGCCCTACACGACGATTCACTCGCGAGGACAGGCAACAGAGGTCTAGCTGAGTTTCGCTGAGTTTCTCGTGAACATCCAGCCATGCCGGGGCTGTGGATGAGTTCTCCCGAGGCCCACGGTTTACAGAGCGCTATTTTAGGGGAGATATACCGGTGGAAGTGGAACGTAGAAAACCTGGGGCGGAGTGTCTTCGCGGGAAAAGATTCGGAAAGAAGATAACTTAAAGCCGTGTCGCCGCACACTGTCATCTACAGTGTGCGATCTATTTGCTTCGGGAGTTATTCGAGGAAGGCGGACGTGATAGATATCGAGTCCGATTATGCTCCGGCCGTACTCCGAAAACCGATAGCAAAGGAGGATATAACGTTTTAACCCCTTCTGACAACAAGGACGGAAGCGTGCTGGTACAATTATGTGCTCCCGGTACCGGACCAATGGGATGCCGGCACAGGTGTCTAGGCAATCTGCCAAGTCCTGGCAGAAATTTCCCCACAGAAAACTTCCCTGTTACACTGACCTTGACATGAGCATCGCACGCACGTATGATATGAGTGGTGAGGGCTCTTGAAGCCCAATACTGACAACAGCATCCTATACCTCACGATACGGTGTTGGTTTTAACTCCGAGAAATGAGTGGGAAATGTGGATTTAAACGGGCCTTCTCTGAATGCCTCACGGTGCAAAACACTCTCGATTTCTAAATCAGGAGGACTTTCCCTTCCACGAGCAGGTGGGTTTTTCCTGGATACATAAAGGGGTCATATGAAGCACCAGAAATTCGACCACCGCAGATTAGGTCTCATCTTACCCGTTCAATACGGCTGCTGTGGATGATTGGATATTTCTCTATTGTTGCTTCGCCTGTGCCTGAAAATAGCTTTGTGAAGCCCCCCCTTGGAAGCAGTCTGGAAGTATATGGACTCTTCAGAAGTAGTGCGGGCTAATTTCCCATGAAATGGTTTTTTTCGATTTCAAGGCAAATCTGTCTTGATACATTTGTTTGAGGTTGCGAATATTTCTTGGAGAAGTGGCCACACATCTGACCCCCCCCCCCAATTCCCCTTCCCAAGACACTAGGTTTCGTATTTCCTGCCGAGCTATGATAGTCTGTTCCCTTGAAAAAGTCATTGTAGCCTGGCGCACGTTATTGCAATCGTTACAGCCGTGAAAGGCAGAACGATGCAGAGCCAAGGTCTAGCCATAATATTACCCAACTTATTGTCTAATCGGAATCATCGATCGGGCCCGCTTCCGCCCCCCAGATCTAGAAGTCGTATTGGCGAAACTACGCCTCAGCCCGAGATTGGTGGAGATTTTATTTATGTTACAGCCTTCACGAGAGATATCTGCGTTCTGTCATTGTATTCTGGGCCCGGGAGCTATGAGGGCATCCGGAAGCTGCCCAACGGCCACCCAGAAATGGACTATGCTTTCGGCGATGCTCCTGGGGAAAGGATGGCGATAAAAGGCTTCCCACCTTCTCTCATGTTACGAATTTATACACATGTCAACATCCCAGTCGGGCATGTAAACGCGGATTGTGAATCGGAAGGAAGGGCCCGTATCTGAAAGCCCACCACCATTCCCAGGTGGGTGCTACAGAAACAGGGAGCATCTCGGAAGGTGCATCCGTAAACTCTCCGAACATCGTAATATAGCACCAGAACGAAAAGATCCGATAGTTAGAATATTGAGTGAGTGAGTGACGGTTGGTGATGTGGAATGAGAAGTCTGTTCGGATGCAGAAAGATTCTGGTATCATGGGTGGCAAGGCCTGAGCCATGAGAGGAAGACAAGTGATGGGACCAAACACTAAATCGCTTCCTGTAGACCAGCTGAGCTGACTCCCAAGGATTACTCAAAAAAAAAAAAAGAGATAATCTCATCCCTACCCTACCGGTACTTGTACTGCCCCCATGGAAAAGCACTAATTTACCCTTGATTCACTTCTCATAGTCAGCACGATCTCGCGTATTTAACCAGGTGTTATCGTCATCGTCATTCTTCCCGCAGAACTTTTGACAGGCAGAGGCTCAAAAAAGAGCAGCCACCTCAGGAAGGAACCACACACAAATTGCATAACCCTACTGTAGGGCTGGTATGATAGGTGAGAAAAATATCATAGAATGAAAAAAAAAAACGAGCAAACAAAGACATAAGCGGAACTTACACAGCCGTACAACATGCGAGTTTGAGGGGTTTGAGGGTGGGAGTCTTGAGTTGGCCAGCCAAGGCGAAAAGCTGAACTGAGATAATAAGAACTGGTGCATGTCATGGGACTCAGGGGCAAGAGAAAATTTTGACCCTCCGGGTGGTCACAATCTCGGAGTGTTAGGACATAAATAAGTACCGTACGCAATCACTCCAGGTATGAGACACTGCTCGAGTAGGATTCACCCCGAGAATTAGTGTCAGAGGTTACAGCCTCATGGAGTATAATAGAGACTGAGGGATAAAATAATCATCAGGTAACTTATGATACCGCCCTTTTTCACTCTCCTCACTCCTCAATGTCTCCGCTCTTGGTATGAACCGACCCAGTTTTCTTATCTCATGAAGCTCCCATCACCCAGCACGGTATCATACTCATGCTCCCCAGCACCCAGAGCCTGTTAGGGCCCATAATATAGAAGATTTATATTACTCAGCCAACACAACGTACCGGTATTCACCTCAAGATAAGTGCAACATTTTCCAAAAGCCTTGACCAATGGTTTGTTAGCCGCCAGTCATAGCCCCGGAAGGGCTTTCACCCGAAACAAAAAGCCTTACATTATCACACAGTAAGCTTCGGCGCATACCGGTGCCGTAACACGAAATACCGGTATCCTACGGCACCGCACCAGTCTCGGTGCCGATCCTTGAGCCCAGCTGTCATCCCCCGACAAGCCCAACTCGGGATGCTCGAGTACGAGTACGATACTCGTACGGTAGGGGGTGGCGGGTATGGGAACATGTTCGCCGAAAAGCCAGAGATGAAAATAGAGGCGAATACTAAATTAAAGGCATCTCAAACCGAGTGAACGTTGAGATATTCTTGGCGAGCTAACCGCAAGCCGCATGGGACAACCCACAGCCAATGGGAGGGGCAGCCCCGTGAGTGGGGAAACCATTCTTGGGTGCGCAATAGGGTGGTTTGGGGCACTGCACCATGAGCTTATCTTGTGTCGATCGACCGATAAGTTAGTGGTCACGAAGCGAGTCCAGTCATACAGCTTGCCGACTGCGGCCTAAGACCTTGGCGCACGAGACACCCCCGGCACATGGGACGTCCCTATGAGCATATATCACACTTATTACCATCCTCTCGTCCTCTTCCGTGGTTACTGGTGCTGAGGACATTCTAGCTTTTGTGTTCGGATGAAACCTTCTGGAGCCGTTCGGAATGAGGATAGGGCGCAAGCTCGGCTGATCACCCGAGAGTTAAAACGGGTATAAAGATAGCTTGCGTCATAGTTGGGTTTTGGACGGTGGACGTTAGTAGAACCTGTGATGTTTTCGTTGCGCATTCTCTAGCAGACATCATGGGGTTCAAGGAAGCTTGAGCAGACAATGAAGGGATAGAGGGGATATATTATTATCGAGGCCTTTTCTCTTTGAAGGGGGCGAGGAGAAACTTGAGTCTGTGAAGCGCGCTTGGGGAACGGAATAGAGGTAAGAAGATTTTCGCTGTTTGCGCTCCCCATCCACTCCCATCTTGAGTATATAAAACACATTGTTGTTATATACGCTTCTCCAGTTTGGTATCATTTTATTCACTGTCCATACTATTGCCATTTGTCTCCTCTTTCCAGGCATCAATATCATTGCCGCTAGTCACTATATTTCACCACTTCTACTTCAAACGAGACATTAACACCACCCTTCAGAGCTTTATCCACCCCGCAATACCTTCTCTCCTCCAATTCCTAATATAACACCGACAACATGCGATACCATACTATCCCCTCCGACACGGAGACCTATCACTCCTACACCCGCCACCATCCTCCAGAATCTCCCCTCTACAGCATAAAACAAGACCTCACCTGGAACAGACTGTCGAGACACTTCTTCAAGCCCGAAGATCCCTATCCCCCGAAGCTTCGCTCTTTCCAAGAATTCAACGCGCAAAGGGTGGAGCGAGACGTCCGTATTCGCAGATCCCGCCGAAAGCTACACTCTATGCCGGTGTACCCGGAGTTTCACCCTGATCCCCCGGCTGTGTACCGGGAGGAATATATACCGCTGGAGCCGGACGGGCACGTAGAGAGCGCGTACTACTTGGGGGCGGACGACATGCCCCCGTTGTATCTGTCACGTCGTTGGCAGCGGCGGGAGTACACCCCACCAGAGAGCCCTGCATACGGCGGGGAG